GCGAGGAGGCACCCCGTTTTCAGTCAAAGAATTGGCGATGCAACTGGCGCCGCGGTCACAGAGATATGTCCACAAGTTGAAGCATCGGTTGAAATACTTGACAAGGCCATCATCGAACTTCTGCATCGCAAATGCTATCCGATTTCCGGCAGGGTGACTCTTCATGTAGACTCGGATTGGGCAAGGTGCCGACAAGCAAGAAAAACCACATCTGCTGGAAATTGTCCTGTGGGGCTCGTGCGTTCCATGAAATGACAGCCGCACGCAGACCGTGATCGCCCAAACCAGCGGCGAAGCCGACCTGTATGCCACAGCTTCTGGCGCCTCATTGATTGAAGAGTTGAGATTCGAAACTTCAGCTGATGTTAATAAACAACAGCACTGCGCGCGAGGCGAAAGCATCAATACAAGGAGTAGGAAGGTTGAAACACGTTGACGTTAAACTTTCACTTGCAGCAACTTGTGTAAGCAAAGCGCATACATATTTCAAAAGTAAGCGCAGCATAATATATATATATATGTACATATATATCATGCACTGGAGCAAAATACAATGTCAGAGCGAGGCTTTCCACGTTGAAGCGTAGGTTGGGTATCCATGCGTAACGCTCAGTAGACATTCTGGTTCAAGCGTTCCCTTTTGGGCTTCTGAGATAGTATGTTGCCACAAGATGTGAAGAAATACTTCAAAACATGCCCGGAGTGTAAAGAATGCTGTGCCAACGTGCCGGCCGAAAGTGTAACCAGCAAACAGTGTCGACGGAACTCTCTCGCACAGCATGGTGCAGTACTTGAGCATCGCAAATGGTGCACACGGTTACGGCGCAGACAGGTCAACAAATATTGATAATTCCTGCCCGTTGCGTTGCTGTGGTGCTGGATCAGAATACCTTGAGTACAACCAAACCCAAGCTTGGCGAGAGCATGCACCGACGCCCCCAAGACCTCCGACGCCACCTCCGACGAGCAACCGCGTGGCAGAAAACAGAAACAAGCCAGACTTAACAACTGGCGATGTCCATGACCGTACGCGGTTCCGCTCCAGGCGCCGATCGTCAAGCAAGAACATCGAGTCGAGTCAGCAAAAGTTTCTCAATGATCGCAATAATGAAACCACAATGGTGAACGACATCTTGACTAACATCGATTATCTTCAGAACATATCTTCTACCGTAACATCGAGAACAAACACTAACTTTCCAGAGAGTGAGCTATAACATCATTTATCGACAAGGTGAGAGACATCGCTTAGCGGACTGTTTTTTGGTACCACCTCTGCCTCCAAAGGTATCTGATGACTGATGAGAGTCAGATCTCCTTACGTCCGGAGCCAGCTTGAGCTATCGAGCATATCCAGAGCAAAAAGGCCTCCGCCTTACCCCGCGAGCCCGCGTAGCTTTGCAGCCAGGGGGGAGGAGGAGGTAGAGAGTGTAATAATGCAACATGAAAGGGGCAGGGAGATGAAGCATAACAACATATGTAGGAGGAAGTGGAGGAACAATCGAAGACCTGTATGGAGGTTCTGGGCAATATATGGTGTTCCTCAAGAACTCCGCAATGTCAGCATTCGGCAAATGCATCAACACGTCCTGCGGTCGTGCCGACGTCGGGGAGCCGCCGCTGTGCTGGCACTTCTTGGATCATCGGCTGTTGTCGTCTTCACCGTGACCTTCGCTGTCTCCACCTCTGCCATTGCATTACCAGCATGGTCGTCACCTTCATCACCATCGTCATGAAACTCATCGTCGTTACCACCGATACCACCATGATCGCTGCCGCCGTCACGCTTTCATCCTCACCTTCGATTTCGGCGTGACCGTCATTGACATTCCCGACCATCCTCATTGTTTCACTTCGGCGTCCTTCACATTGTCTCCCCCTTTCTCCCCACCGATCTCCAATTCCATCTTCGCCCACCTGAGCGCGAACGGCATCATCATCGTGCACGTAGACCTGTTTCCTGCCGGGTCTCCGTGGACGTGTCGGGGTGACCTCTTTGCCGCCACGCTCTGCGTGCTTCTCCTGCTCTTGCCCTTATCCGATGGGCCTCAGCCGCTGAATCTCGGCCTGCTCCAGAGGGAAGCCCGTTAGGGAAGGGGGAGTGGGGCGGGGCAGGGCGTCCTGCCCTTTTCGCGGGCGCCAAAGAATCTGGCGGCTGCAGGCTGCAGGGGGAGGGGGAACATGTGCCTGCGCTCGCGTGTGGACAGTCGGACCAGCCAGGATGCGCGGTAAGGATGCAAGGGCATTGCAGGGCCATGTCGAGGAATTTCGAGCGGGGCGCGGTCAGCGAAAGTGGCCGAGGATGGAATCGGGAGGCAAGGATGCAGTGCTACCCTCGGGAAAGACGCCCATCCTTATTGTGCGGGTTGACTGCAAGACAGAACAACGTCCTTCAAAAGCACGAGACCCTCCGCCAGCCAAACTGAAGCACTCGAGGGTACCCTCCCCCAGTGTGCACAAGAACAACCAACAAACCCCACTACCATTCGAGGGCAATTTTTTATACATGGGATTAAACAAATATAGGATTTTAATACAGGATCAATTTATGAATAAATTTATGCATGAACTCATCGTTGTTTTTCATACTAAACCCTGCATTTTTGATACATGATCCGCACGCGGAGCATGTATTCAAAACGGCACTGTAGGGTACATCCCCCGAACCGACCTCGATCTTATACCTTGGTCCGACCGGAGTCGAGTGCGTGGACGCATGCGCATCTGCGCCCGGCGGTCTCGGACAAGCGCGGCCTGGCTTCAGAGAGCGCAGCCCCCGAACGAGCGCCTCCTGTTGGCCTGCCTGGCGCACGGCTGTAGACACTTGGCGGGGGAGGGCTGACACGAATTCGCCAGTCCTAGCACTCGCTGTCGCACGGACGTCTGTTCCCCGTGCATATTGTTGTGCGTGAATCTGTTTCGCAGGATGATCCAAGATGTTCCTGGATGGTCATCGCCCCCCCTCCGAACAAAACACACACACACACACACGTCCGAACGATGCCAAAAGCAAATACCGTGGGCGTGGTCGAACGTGTGTGCGGGTGTATAAATCGTGCACAGCGGGAAAAGTAGCAACACTGTCGACGCATCAACTTTCGGAAATCCGCGCGGACTTCCGACGGCTCGTGTTTTTTGCCGCTCTCCTTCTTCGACCTCCAGGGCGCATCCGAGACTGAAGGCACAATAGACGCCCCCCCCGACTGCATCATAACCGCATACGCGATGTAGGTAGGTGTAGGTGTACGGTATGGATGGACGTAGCATTAGGTCGGGCGTGTCCCCCTACAGGCGGATTTTGGACGAAACATACAAGTACTCAAACAACAAACAAAAACATAGTAAACACATCGTCCCCAGACTATTTATAAAACTATCTTTGAATATTTTTCCTGTAGGGGGACAGGCCCGACTTAGACGTAGCACCATGTGCACAGCATGTCTTCGTGCACATGCCGTCACGTGTCGAACGCCAGAATCATACGCTAGCCACGGTCGTGGATGAGCGCAAACGCGCCCAATTCCCAGACGTAGCATTAGGTCGGGCGTGTCCTCCTACAGGCGGGTTATGGTCGAAAAATAAATTATGCTACCGAGGAACCCCACATACTGATTTTTAATCTTATGTGTTTGCTTGTCATTATCATCTATGCGCAATGCTGCGTTCTAAACCCTCGTCGCGAATCGACCGGCGCGTATAGCAGCCGCGCTCGGGGACCACCCCCTGCGCACCCCCTCTGGTGTCGAGAAAGTGCCACGCCTGCTATGCCTGGACGACCGGCGCGTATAGCAGCCGCGCTCAGGGACCACCCCCTGCGCACCCCCTATGGTGTCGAGAAAGTGCCACGCCTGCTATGCCTGGACGACCGGCGCGTATAGAGACCGCAGCGAGAGACCACCCCCTGCGCACCCCCTATGGTGTCGAGAAAGTGCCACGCCTGCTATGCCAGGACGAGGCGCGTATAGAGACCGCCCACCCCTGCGCACCCCCTATGGTGCCGAGAAGTGGCCTGCTATGCTGGACGACCGGCGCGTATAGAGACCGCAGCGAGAGACCACCCCCTGCGACCCCCTATGGTGTCGAGAAAGTGCCACGCCTGCTATGCCTGGACGACCGGCGCGTATAGAGACCGCAGCGAGAGACCACCCCCTGCGCACCCCCTATGGTGTCGAGAAAGTGCCACGCCTGCTATGCCTGGACGACCGGCGCGTATAGAGACCGCAGCGAGAGACCACCCCCTGCGCACCCCTTATGGTGTCGAGAAGTGCCACGCCTGCTATGCCAGGACGACCGGCGCGTATAGAGACCGCAGCGAGAGACCACCCCCTGCGCACCCCCTATGGTGTCGAGAAAGTGCCACGCCTGCTATGCCTGGACGACCGGCGCGTATAGAGACCGCAGCGAGAGACCACCCCCTGCGCACCCCCTATGGTGTCGAGAAAGTGCCACGCCTGCTATGCCTGGACGACCGGCGCGTATAGCAGCCGCGCGCTCAGGGACCACCCCCTGCGCACCCCCTCTGGTGTCGAGAAAGTGCTACGCCTGCTATGCCTGGACGACCGGCGCGTATAGCAGCCGCGCTCGGGGACCACCCCCTGCGCACCTCCTCTGGTGTCGAGAAAGTGCCACGCCTGCTATGCCTGGACGAGCGGCGCGTATAGCAGCCGCGCTCAGGGACCACCCCCTGCGCACCCCCTATGGTGTCGAGAAAGTGCCACGCCTGCTATGCCAGGACGACTGGGACGTATAGGGACCGCAGCGAGAGACCACCCCCTGCGCACCCCCTATGGTGTCGAGAAAGTGCCACGCCTGCTATGCCTGGACGACCGGCGCGTATAGAGACCGCAGCGAGAAACCAACCCCTGCGCACCCCCCATGGTGTCGAGAAAGTGCCACGCCTGCTATGCCAGGACGACCGGCGCGTATAGAGACCGCAGCGAGAGACCCACCCCCTGCGCCCCCCTATGGGTCGAGAAAGTGCCACGCCTGCATGCTGGACGACCGGCGCGTAAGAGACCGCAGCGGAGAACCAACCCCTGCGCACCCCCCACGGTGTCGAGAACGGCCACGCCTGCTATGCCAGGAATACCGGCTGGCGGTCGTAATAGAGACCGCAGCGAGAGACCACCCCCTGCGCACCCCCTATGGTGTCGAGAAAGTGCCACGCCTGCTATGCCTGGACGACCGGCGCGTATATAGACCGCAGCGAGAGACCACCCCCTGCGCACCCCCTATGGTGTCGAGAAAGTGCCACGCCTGCTATGCCTGGACGACCGTCGTGCATAGCGGCCGAGCTCAGGGACCACCCCCTGCGCACCCCCTCTGGTGTCGGGAAAGTGCCACGCCTGCTGTGCCTGGACGACCGTCGTGCATATCGACCGAGCTCAGGGACCACCCCCTGCGCACCCCCTGTGGTGTCGAGAAAGTGCCACGCCTGCTGTGCCTGGACGACCGTCGTGCATAGCGGCCGCGGTGAGAGACCACCCCCTGCGCACCCCCAGTCTGGTGTCGAGAATGTGCCACGCCTGCTGTGCGGACGACCGGCGCGTTATTATAGAGACCGCAGCGGAACAGGACCACCCCCTGCGCACCCCCTCTGGTGTCGAGAAAGTGCCACGCCTGCTATGCCTGGACGACCGGCGCGTATAGCAGCCGCGCTCGGGGACCACCCCCTGCGCACCCCTTATGGTGTCGAGAAAGTGCCACGCCTGCTATGCCTGGACGACCAGCGCGTATAGCAGCCGCGCTCAGGGACCACCCCCTGCGCACCCCCTATGGTGTCGAGAAAGTGCCACGCCTGCTATGCCTGGACGACCGGCGCGTATAGAGACCGCAGCGAGAAACCACCCCCTGCGCACCCCTATGGTGTCGAGAAGTGCCACGCCTGCTATGCCAGGACGACTGGGGCCACGCCTGCTATAGCAGGACGACTGGGGCGTATAGAGACCGCAGCGAGAGACCACCCCCTGCGCACCCCCTATGGTGTCGAGAAAGTGCCACGCCTGCTATGCCAGGACTGGTGTCGTCTTGTGTGTGCGAGTGTGTGCATGCGTGCGGCTGTATGTAGACGCGTGTCGCCGAGACGTGCTGTGCTGTGCTCTGCTGAGCTGTGCTGTGCTGTCCTATGCTGTGCTGCGGTCTGCTGTGCTGTGCTGCGCTGAGGAGGAGGAGGAGGAGGAGGAGGAGGAGGAGGGCGGGTGTGGGGGAGACGCGGGCGCGGCGCGGCAGGGAAGAAAACCAGAACCCCACGAAGCATGTGGGGAAATATCAAAAAATGCTCAAAAAACAGAAGGTGTCGAAACGTCGTCCCCAGACTATTTTTTGATTACTTTTGAATCCTCCTGTAGAGGAACAGGCCCGACTTAAACGTAGCAGTACACCTGGCCAACCACTCGATATACTCGATATCCTCAGAGCAAAAACATGCGGACAGATCCAGAGCAACCACCTGAGCACTCGAGAGGACACCCCTGACGCAAGATGGCCCGCTCGACGCCAACCGTCCTCGTGGCCAAGCGTCAGGACTCTGCACGGCGATCTGGGAACCATCCACTTCTCACCCACCCATACAGAATTGAGCAGCACCGCTTCGCTATGATGCGCTGCCAAAGGTCCGCATGGGCCTCCAGAAGTCTGTGCTTATGCTCGTCTTTTCCCTCGACCCGCCTGCGCTTCGCGCGACCTGGGCCCCCCAGACGTTGGACTCGGCTCGGGGATCTGCGATGGATGGGCCCCAGGACTGCCGGCCAAGAGGGGGGGGGGAAGACAAGCAGCAAGCAAGTCGAGTACGGACAGCGCGTGCCGCACGCTGCCACGTGCCCCCAATACAATGCTCGACAGATGGCAGCCGTGGCTGCCGCTCTCACCGCTTGCAGAACTCAACGTAATTAATCATCTTCCAATTGTTCCTAGTTATCCCGGCGCTGTGCCACTGCGATCCACGAGGAAGCCCCCACGAGGGGGAGGGGAAGGGGGCAAACCCTGCATACAGGACTTCCCCATCGAGAAGAGGCTGCCCGGAAGTAGGGGAGATCCACACAATGACCCCCCTTCCCACCCCGCTCTGCAGGCCAGAACCACAGTGCTGCGCCACCTGGGCCCCTCAGTCGGGGGTCCAGCGCCGACCCCAGAGATCCGCGCTTCCCTCCCAGAAGCAAATGCGCTTGTGCTGCTCTTTCTTCAGCGATCCGCCTGCACTTCGCGCGAGCTCCGCGGAGTCGACGGGCCCCCCCTGACGTTGGAGGCGGCTCGAAGTCCAGGCTGGAGGGGCCCCAGGACTGTCGATCAAGAGGGGGGGGAGTGGGCCAAACCTGCATGCGGGAGCTCCCCATCCAGAAGGGGCTCTCCAGAAAAGAGAGGATATCCACACACACAGACAAACATCATGGCCCCCCTTCCCATCCCGTGCTGCAGGCCGGAACCAACGCTGGGCCACTTCTGGGGAAGCCAACAGATTCCGATACCGCCACTCCCCAGACCTGGTTCTGGCGTGCGTTCCAACCAGAATCTCGCGGCGAGACCAGCCGTGGCGACAAAGGCCTCCCAGGAGGCCCAAAAAAGCGACAACGAGGGAAGGGTGGTGGCGGTGCGCGGTGTCGGAACTTCTTCACAGGCCTCTCAGATGGGGTCGGAGTAACGGGGTTGGAGGATCGCGCCGCATCGTCGATGCATCACGGATGCATTGGCGATGCGCCAGCGACGTCGGCGATGCATCGGCGCCGTCGGCGTGGAGGAAATCGGGCTCCACATCGAACCGCATCGCCGATGCATCGACGACGCGGCGCGATCCTCCGAGTTCGTTTGCTCGGACTCTCCCTGGGAGGCCTGGACCTCTGCTCCTCTGACAGCCCTGACCCAGCGGGCGAGAAATAGCCCTAAAATGAACTTTTCCGCCGTCGGGGACGCCTGCCCTCCTGGCGGCTGTAAAATCTATATCCCGACGCGGCACCGTGGGGGTGTCAACTTTGCTGCCGCCCAGGGGGCAAGCGTCCCCGACGGCGGAGAGGCTTATTCTGTACCGTTCTTCGCCCGCGAACCGATAGGAGCAAGGGAAGGCGACACCAACACACACCAGGGCGAGGAGAGGCGAAGAGCAAAGGTGGTCTCCCTGGTGTGGCCCCCCACTCTTGCCCGAGAAATCCCTAGCCTCCAGCTCGGGGAGGCATCGTGGACCCCCTCGCTGGAGGTGCCCCCCATGGTGGTGTTGGTGTCGCTTCTCTACAAGAGAAGACGAATAATACTAATAATAATAATAATAATAATAATAATAATAACTGCACAACGCATAAGCATAAACTTTTGGCGCTCCGCGCGGATTTCTTGGATCTGCGCTGGACCCCTTTCCCTGGCGCGCGGAGCGCGCCAGGGGCGGCGCCGCTGGGGGGGGGGCCCAGCGCGGATCCAAGGAATCCGCGCGGAGCGTCATAAGTTTATGCTTATGGCGTCCTTTCCTTTTCGATTCTCCTCCCTCCGAAACTGACGAAGTCCACTCGCGCGGCGGCAGCTCCTTGACCAACAGCAGGTCCGCCGCCGGTAGGCGCCGGCTCAGGTCGCCGCGGAGGCAGGTGGCGCTGGCCAGCCCCGCCGCCCGAAGGTGCTCCGCGTCGGCGAAGTACGCGAGGTTCTCCTCCTGCGGGCGGGCGCCGCTGCCATTGAAGACGAGGCCACGACGAGGGTAACCTTAGGTCGGGAGAAATACATCACAAATAATCAAACATAGTCCACCAAAAATAGTAACTGGACTATTTTCTCACTGTTCTTGAATACTCGTCCTGTAGAGGGACATGCCCGACTTAAGGCCACGACGGAGATAACGTCGGGTGAGGATAAATGGAGAATCTCGGAGATCCGGCGGCTCTGGAAGATGTCTCACCCCGAGGGCCCCCCCCCCCCCCCCCCCCCCCCCCTTTGTTTTTTTTTTCTTCCCCCCCCCCCCCCCCCCCCCCCCACCCCCCCCCCCCCCCCCCCCATCCCACCCCCCCACCCCCCCCCCCCCCCCCCCCCCTCCCCCCCCCGGCGCCGCGGCCTTCTCAGAGCGTTCCCCAGCGCTCTGAGAGCGTTCTGGAGCGCTCTGGAACGGATCGATACTCGTCCCAACCCCGTCCGACCATTGCTCCTTGGCTTGATGCTGTTCTGCCTGATCTTCTGCAACGGTAATGACCCGGGGGAAGGGGGGGAAAAGGGGTTCGGGTTCTGGGTGCTCCGGATTTCACAACACAAGGGGGGGTGGTCTGATTTTTGCTGGGGACATCCACTTAGAGCTGTCTTGGAGGGTTCCGAGGGGGATCCGGGCACAAGGCCGCCTTTTTTCATGGCTGGTCTTGGGGGGGTTCTGAGAGGGCTTGCCTGGGAGGTTTGTGACTCCCCTCCCCGTATTTTGAAATTCGGAGCAGCTGTAACGCTTGGGCGTGGTGGGGCACTTCGGGGCGGGTGTACGCTATACGATCGCCACGGCGCGCGCCCTAGCACGAACCATGTTGGCGGGGTCCAAGCCGCCCCCCTTCGTAGACCGTTGCAGCTGCCAAAGGGGGTGGCGGTGAGGGATGTGATTCTGGGCAGCGGCCGTTATGCGCCAGAGGACAAGCCACTATCTCCTTTCGGGACACAGTACGCGTCCTCGGCCCACCTGTGGGAAACCACGAGGTACCGATGCCGCTGCTCCCCGGACCTCCCCTGGGGTGCGTTCTGACCATGGTTTCGAGGCGAAGCCAGCGGTGGCAACGAGTGCCTCCGAGGAAGCGGAGAGAAGGGAAGACGGGCGAAGGGCAACGGCAGCAGTAATTACTTGCCCTTGGCCCAAAGTGCCCGCAGCTTTTCGGTCCATTCTGGAGTCCCTGGGGCCTTCTGGGTCTGGTGAGGGGGTCTCTGGAGACCGTTGGGGGCCTCCATGGAAAGCTTGGGGGCGCTTGAGCCAGGGGCAGTTCCAGCAACATCTGAAAACGAACTGAACCAATTCAACATATGGTTCTCGCCTTCGCGCCGCGCGCAGTCGTTTTAAAATTCGCAAGAGGTTCACGGATTGAGGGCGGCTCCTTCTCAAAATGTGGCTCCTTCTCAAAATCTGAACGAAGGATTGCAAAAAAACCGAAGGATTGCAAAAAAACGAAGGATTGCAAAAAACGAAGGATTGCAAAAAACGAAGGGTTTTGTTGTTGCAATCCTTAGTTGTTTTGCAATCCTTCGGTTTTTTTGCAATCCTTCGTTCGCGCCGCGCGCATTCGTTTTTTTTTTGAATTCGCAAGAGGTTCACGCATGGAGGGCGGCTCCGTGTCAGAATGCGGCTCTCGCCTTCGCGACGCGCGCAATCTTCTCTTACGTTTGCAAGAACTCCACGGGTTCCCGTGATCAGCGTACCAGAAACGGTGTTTTGGAAGGATTAGGGATTACGAAATTGCAACAATTCTTCGGATTCTTGCAAGAATTCTTACACTTGCAAGAACTCCACGGGTTCCCGTGAGCAGCGTACCAGAAACGGTGGTTTGGAAGGACTCAGGATTACGAGGTTGCAACAATTGCACTGGCTCGCGGTGCTGAAGGCCCAAGAATGGCGTTCTCTCACGACTCAAGATCGTCAAGACGCAACAATCAGGTCGATCCGTGACGTCGGAATCCAGAAAACGATGTTTTGGCATGCATGAGGGTGTTCAAACGGTTACTTTCCAACGAGACAGTTCCCTCAGTGGAAATGAACCCAGGTAGGGCCTGTGAAGAGGGAGCTTGGAGGGAGGGTTCATTCCAACATCGTCGATGACTTTTGGGTTTACACTGGTGCTCCTCCTCCTCCTCCTCCTCCTCCTCCTCCGCTTCGTCCTCCTCTTCCTCCCATTCATACTCAGACTCGTTCACACTCAGGCTCACGCGCACTGATATTCAGTCAGACTCACTCATACTCACTAATGCCTCAAACTCACCGCATTCATACTCAGACTCATTCACACTCAGGCTCACGCGCACTGAGATTCACTCACTCACGGTCAGACACACTCACGTTCAGGCTGATTCACATTCATATACGCTCAAACTTACTCATCCTTCAGACTCACTCATGCTCACACACCGCGGGGACGTCTCAGGCGGGTTGCGTGCCTGGCTGCTCAACATCTCGCCTTCGGAAAAGGTGGGAGGATGCCTCAAGCGAGGCGCAGCACTCCAAGGAGGGGGGGGGGACACTGAGGCATTCCCGGGCCGCGTTCGCGCCGAGACTGCGCGGACGTCTGAGGCGGCGTGCGTGCTTCGGACCGTAGCATCCTTTGCTTTCGGTACCGATTTGGAGGACGTCTCAGGCGAAGCGCTGGCTTTAGCACTCCCAGTGGGGGGGGCGGCAGGGAGGGTACTTCACGGCCCCGCTCGCGCCCGGATGCTGGAGAAGCCTCGAGCGCTCTGCACGCGTCGGACCGTCACACGTTTTGCTGCCGGGACAGGTTTGGAAGCTGTCTCGGGCGAGGCACTGGTTCCAGCATTCCCCAAACATGGAGGCGGCAGGGGGGGGTATTTCACAGCTCCGTTCGCGCTGGGATGGTAGGAATGTCTCACGCGCTTTGCGCGTTTCGGACCGTAACTCAAGGGGCCCAAGGACACACAAATAAATACAAACAAATAAAATGATTTTCCCATATTTTCTAGGTTTTTGTCCCCCCCCCACTTCCCATACTTTCCCATATTTTCCTGGGGATCGACGATGAATTGTGTCTGTGTGTGTTTTCCCCCCTCCTGAGTAACACCCTTCGCAGGTCGGAGCAGACTTGGAGGACACCACCGGCGAGGGGCGCTGGTTTCCTTGCCCCCAGAGGGGCGGCAGGGGAGTGTTTTTCCTGGGCTCGTTGGCGCCCAGACTTTGGAGACGTTTCACGCGGTTTGCGCGGCTCTTGGATTGTAGCATTTTTCGCTTTCGGGGCAGATCCCCCTCGCAGCCGCGCCCAGCTGACAGGCGCCCGATGTTTTCGGCCCGGTGCCAAGTGCGCACGGCCTCGCCCAGCAGCAAGTCTCCACTGCCCTTTCTGGAGGAGGGGGAGGAGGAGGAGGAGAAGAAGGAGGAGGAGGAGGAGGAGGAGGAGGAGGGAGAGGCAAGCGCAGAGCGAGGGGGTCTGGGAAGAGACCTGCAGCCGCCACCCCCTGACCGCCCGCGCACGTCCACGGTTCCATGCAGAGGGAGAGAGAGAGAGAGAGAGAAACCGATGGAGAGAGAGAGGGAGAGTCAATTATTCACTGCGTGGGGATCCCCATATGTGCATCTCCTTGCTGGCGCTCCCTTGGTGGTGGGACTCGGTGAGGACGAATCTGGATTTAAGTGTGACTGAGCTGCCTCTCTCTCTGCTCTCTCTGCTCTCTCTGTCTCTCTCTCTCTCTCTCTGCCCTCTCTCTGTCTCTGCCTCTCTTTCCCTGCCTCGCTCTCTCTCTCTGCCTCTCTCTCTGCCTCTGTCTCTCTGCCTCTCTCTCTCTCTGCCTCTCTCTCTGTGCCTCTCTCTCTCTGCCTCTCTCTCTGCCTCTCTCTCTCTCTCTC